GCCCTGGGACATCCACTGCTGAGCTGTGGGAAGAGGACATGCTGATGGACCCCTGATACACACACCAACTCCCTGCCTGGCCACTGGGACATACTGATGTGACAGCTTGTCCCAGGGAAGACCTGACAGAGCCTGGGCACAGAAGGAAGGGAAGGGGCCCTAGAGGGCATTCATTGGGACAAAGACCACTTTAGGTAAAAGGGTCAGTGGAGAGGGGAGGCAAGAAATTGTGGCCTATGGGAGTGGCAGCAATTATGCCTGATATGGACAGTCGGACTTGCAGGGGAACGTGGTTAGTGGCCAAGTAGCCATGATGACTGGACAAGTGTGGCATGGAGGAAGCAGGTTGGTTCTCCCCAGCCCTCCCCCTGCCAGCTCTGCTCTTGCCCTCACCCTGCAAACAGGCAGCAATGGCATAGTCCATGGCCCAGCTGACCAATGCCATGAGGAGCCCCAGCAGGACCAGGAAGATCCAGTCTTCACCAACCCTGGACACGAGGAACTTGTGGCAGTGTACAGAACAGACTGGGTGCAGGGAAGGGAAGAATGGGGAGGTTGGCACCAAAGTGCTCCTACCCGTTACCAGCCACCCCTCTCTCCCATCGGCAGCTCTAAATGGCCTCTGTGCCCCTCAGCGCAGCACAGGTCCCCTGCCCCAACCCAGTTCTCACTGCGGCATCGGGCACAACGGCTCTGTCCATATTCCAAGAGCTCTGGGGGAGCCCGAGGGGAAGGGGGACCCCTCCAGGGCTCAGGTCCTCCAAGGCGAATCCGAGCAGCTTCCTCTTTGGCAAAGGCCCCAAGGTCCTGAGTATACCGGCCATACATCTGGAACAACAGGGAAGATGGGGACATTAGTGGTTGTGGGCTGAGTGGGGGTACACGGAGGGCTCCTGGGGCCTCGACTCCCCTTCTCCCAGAGGACCACATTGTATACCCCCTCTTGGAGCCACAGTTCCCACTCTTGCTTGGGGTGTGGGAATAATGCACATTGTAGACTGTGGAGGCTGTCCTGGCCAGAATGATGGAACAGCCAAGGTACAGGGACACAGCTCTGGGGGTGGCAGAATAATCGGTCCTCTTCTCACAGGCCTGGGGCGTAGGCACTGAGGAGGAGTGGCAGGGAAGGCCCAGAGAAGGAAAAGATGAAAAAACCTAAGCCACAGTCTGGAAGTGGGAGGAGGGAGGGTCAGAGAATAAAGGATGGTCAAGGGCATGTGGGCAACAATAAGAGCCTCCTGGAGCTGGGGGCAGCTGAGTTGGGCCTAGCAGCAGGCGCTGCCCCAATCCTTATCACGTTCCTGCTGGGCCTCTGGCCTGTGACCAACTCAGCTGCACCCCTCCCACCCACCCTAATCCCCTTGTCCCCATTTTCCACTGCCACCCCCACTAGCCTGCCAGCCCAGCTGGGAGCGGAAAGCCTCTTCTGTTGGGTGAAGAGTGCTTAGTGGCCTAGTGGCCTCAGCCCCACTCTGGAGCTGCCGTGAGCCCAGTGGCGGGCTGGGGGACAGCAGAGGCTGCGGATGGCTGGACTGTGACTGTGGATGCTGGGGTGATGGGAAGGGAAAGTCGCCTGCCCCAGCCATGGCTAGACCTGCCAAGCTGGGCGTGTGTTGGGGGGCGGGGAGGAGTAGATTCCGGCTGCCACCCGCAGAGCTTCGGGACACAAAGGGCTCCTGTTGGGGCTGGGTTGGGGGGGAGGGAGGGAAGGATACAGACAGAGAGAGGGTGAGAGATAGAGAGTGAGGAAAGGGAGAAGCACAGAGAAGAGACGAAACCAGACAGAGGAGAAAGGGGAAAAGAGGTGAGGGGAAGGGATAGAGGAGGGAAAGAAAGACATGAGAGGGAAAGAAGTAGGGAGGAAGAAAAGAAAAGAGAGTAGAGTATAAAGAGGTAGACACAGCATAGGAGGGGGAGGTGAGAGCTGTGAGAGAAAGACAAAGGGATAGAAAGGAGCGGGGAGAGGCTGGAGCAGAGAGTGTCTGGGACAGAGCTTGACCCTGAGAGCTCATTCCAGGGACAGAGGCAGAAGGGAAGGAGATGGAGAGGTGGCTGGTGCAACAGAGGCACCATTTCACAGGCCAGGTGTCAGGCTTCCTCAACCAATGTCCCTATCCCTGGCCTGTGCAGACCGACAGACATCTCCCACCCTATCCCAAGGGCTTGCCCCTTTACCCTTGCTCCACCCCTACCCTGCCACCTCTCCCTGTCATCCTGTTTCACCCAGTCACTTTCTTGTAACTGGGCACCTCCCTGGCTCAGTTACAGCCCAGGCCCTCTCCTCTTGGAGAGGTTCCCTCCCTGCCACCTTCCTGGGCAAATTCCAGCTCAAGCTGGTAAAAAGGAGCCATGAACCCATTCCTTTCCCTAGGGCTTGGGTCCTTCACTTCGGTGACACAGAAGAGTCAAATGACTTCTCAAACACTAAGTAACAGTGTGGGCCATGAATCAGCTCAGAGCCCAGGACCCCTGCTTCTAATGAGGTCAAGGGACACCCCTGGAGTAGGTGAGAGCTGGATGGACAAAGGTCCCAATCCCCACACCCATTCCTGCTTGACCCATTCTCCCTAAAGCTCCTGCCACCCAGGATGGCAGGCCACTTTTTTTCAGAGAATCAACTGAGGAGTTCCTGCCAACAGTGGGTGTTGAGCCCCCAGAGATGGGGGCTGGGGCTGGGTTTGGATCTGATCATCTTTCTACACTCTTGATTCTATGCGTAGCACAGTGCCACGCACATGGCAGGGACACAGGGAATGTCTTGGATGGTGGACATAGGAGTGTGGAGAAAGTTCAATGGTGTCAGTGGTGCTGGGGAGGGGTAGTGGGGTGCTGAGACGGGCCTAGGTGGTGAGGGGGAGGAGCAAAGAAAACGTGTGTTATGGGGAGTGAAGGGAAGGACACCTGGGACAAGCACCTGGTGTCCTTGTCCTCTGCAGGACCCCAGCCTAAGCCAGAAACCAGCATGCAGCTTTCCATCCCTTCCGCCCTGCAGCCTCTCAGACTCCCGAGCCTCAGTTTCCCCAGATTAAAAGGCTGGGGCAGGGTGAGGTTAAGCCCCTGGTCCTCGCACTTCCTAGGTAACCTGGAGCAGCGGTCTCGGAGCACACTCCCTCAGAGCTCCGCTCGGCTTCACTTACCAGCGTCTGCTCGTACTGCAGCGCCCGAGGTTCCATCCCTTCCTCCGCCGCCGCCGTGGCCGCCGCGGCCGCCATCTCCGCGCACTGCCCTCTCGCCTCCCTCTGCGGCTCCGGCTCTGTCCTGGACACAGCTCCCGGCCCGCAGAGTCCGAGCCGGCAGCCGTCCGGTCCCCGCAGCCCCGGCGGCCGAGTGCAGAGTGCGGCGGGCCCCGGGCGGGCGCCGCTGGCGCAGCCTCTGGCTCGCGTCCCCTCCTAGGCGGGCGGGCCGAGGGCGGTGCCCTCTGTGCTGCTCCGCCCGCCGGCCTAGCCGGAGGGGCCGCCCAAGCCGGGCTGGGGTCTGCGCTGGGGCTCCAGAAGAGGCGGCAGGGGGCGCTTGGAAAGCGCGAGCCCGCGTCCCCATCCCGGGGAGGCCCGGGACTGAGAGGGGGGCCCCGGGCCAGGGCGGGGGCGGGTCCGCTGGCACGTGGAGGGGACGGGTCGGGTTCTCCGCTCCCGGCGCCGGGACGGGAGGGGCTAGAGACGCTTGGGCTTAGTCTGGCTTGGGGCTGGGGGCTGCAGAGCCTTCTAAATCGGACTCTTCTGGCCCAACCTGTCCGGAGCAGCCCCCTTTCTGCTCCTCCGAAGGGACGACCGGTTCAGACGGGCCTGGGAAGGCCCCTCCGCCCCGTCTGGGATGAGAAGCAAAACTGGGAGGATTCGGAGGGGGATTCTGGGCCGTCTCCCTCATCCCATCCCTTTCTCCTTCCTTTCCTCACGGCTCCCCCAGAGAGGTGCACCTGGAACAGCCAGGCTTGCGGGGGCGTGCGGAGGTGGCGGTGGGGAGGGGACGCGGAAGGGTGAGGCCTGAATGAAGGGAGCTCTAGGTGCAGGAGGCGGGCGTGGGGGAGCAGAGGTCGCTTCTCCCTGGCTGGGCCCAAGGAGAAACCCGAGTAGCTGCTGACGTCTCGCTGCCTTGGGGGAATGGCATGCCGGTGCTCTGCGTTCTCTATCAGGGTCCAGGGAAGGATAGAACAGAGGGTGGAGTGAGCGCAGAGTGGATGGGCAGTGTTAGAGATAGTGTCAGAGTGAGGGCCGTGCCCAGGAAACGGACAGTGTGAGGGAGGGGCAGTACTAGGATAAAGTGGCATTTGGGAGGTAGAGGCGTTGCTCAGGGGGCGGGGGCAGTGCCCAAGAAGGGGTGCAGTGTGAGAGAGCAGCCAGCACGCAGGAGGAAGGGAGAAGAGCTGGTATCCAAGGGAGAGCACAGTGCCAGGAGCAAGGGGCACGTAGGAGATGAGTGCCCAGAAGGAGAGGGCAGTGGTGGGGGAAAGGGGCAGTAGCTGGAGGGGCAATGCTCAGGGGAGGGGTTAGTGCCAGGCTGAAGGGGCGGTGTGGGGAAAGAGGGCAGTGGTGGGAGGGTGCAGTACCAAGGAAGGGGACAATGCAGGTTTTCCTCTTCCCTATGGTGACATCATGGCAAATTCCCAAACTGGATGGACCCAGCTCGGGTGACGTCCAGAAGGGCAGAGCTGGTCCGGGCCGGCCCTAGGGGCCTAGGTGCCGGCTGGAGGGGCTGGGCACAACTCCCTACCGGGCCAGCGCGTTGGAGGCGGGGCTCTGCTCCACCCGCCCTCGGCGTGGACTGTGCCCTAGGTGGGCACGCGGACTGGCAGGGTAGGGCTAGGGCCGGGCTCGTCTGGGCCAAGGATCAAGGTCTCCGCTTGGGTTAGGCCCCCACGCATTCCAGTGTTCTGGGCCGGACTCTGAAGAGGGCGCAGTAGAGCCCTAACACAGAGCTAGAATCCGCGCCACCGCCGCCGAAGGTTGGACCTATTGTTTCCCCGCCCTAGGCGGAGTCACCTGGGCCTGAGACCCGCCCTCAAAGCCGAAACCTCTCCGAAGCAATCTTTCGGGGCGGAAGTTAAGAAGCCCCGAGGGGGAGGTGGCGGAAGTGGCTGCGTTGCTACTGGCTCATGCGCATGCGCTATTCTTTCTGGTTTCCTCTCTTCAGGCGCTGCCTTTTTTCTTCTCTCCTTTTCTCCACGTGAGGGGGTACGCATACCCGCAGTGGTCGTCGTGCGCTCAGCGCTTCTGCTCTCTTGGCTCCCTCACGATGGCGGGCATCCTGTTTGAGGATATTTTCGATGTGAAAGACATTGACCCGGAGGGCAAGAAATTTGACCGAGGTAAGTAAGGTACGTAGGGACGGTTTGTGGGGGAGAGACTAACCTCCTCGAGGTGGGCCCCATGTCCACGCAACTCACGTGCTCTGCCCCTACTGGCAGGTCCTGATGTAGGGACCTCCCTCAGGAAACAATTTATGGTCGAGAAAACTGAGACTGCGAGCTTTCCCTGGCCTCAAGTTTGCCGTTCCCAATGCCTGGGTGGCCTTTTGTCTATTCGTGGTGCTGACCTGAGAATCTTTATAATCGCCACCTATTCTGTGCTAGGTGCTGTACTGTGCCCCTCACACACACTTTGTCTTGTTTATTCCTCTCAAGAGTTCTCCTGAGGTAGGTGATGCCTTCACCATTTTGCTCGAAGAGGTTAAGTGACCCATCCAAGGCTGCAAAATGAGTAATTGAGTTCAGAGCCTATATTCCTGCATTGCCCTCAGAATCTTTAGCTCTTTGGGAAGTATTCTCTGAGTTAACTGCTTGGTATACACTTCTTTATTTTGTCATTGATCAGTAATTGTTTCTCCTTGGTGTCTCTTTCTTTTCCTGGAGACTGAGATGTTTTTCAGGATAGCCACTGGTTCTTGTGCATCCTGGTAATCCATTCAGCACAGTGCCTAGGACAGAAAGGAATCCTTTGGTTGAATGAATAATTTGCCCAGAGTCGAGTTCTAAATTATCCCGGCATGCCTAGAACCTGGATATTATTTGCTACCAGAAGACCTTTGATTCTCTTCTGGGGATTCTGGTCACTTGCCATAGTTTTTCTCCCGTTTTCCTGCATATCTGGTTCTGATTGAGCCTGTGCTTCTGTGAGAGCCAATGAGAGGCCAGTCGATGTAGACTGGGTTAGATTGAGTTTTCTGTTGCATATAATCCCCAAACTGGGATCTGTAGGATCTGCCCTGAGCCTGGCAATTACCTCTACTACTCTTTTCCTACTTCTCCCAGTGTCTCGACTGCATTGTGAGAGTGAATCCTTCAAGATGGATCTCATCTTAGATGTAAACATCCAGATTTACCCTGTAGACTTGGGTAAGTATTGAACACAGACAATAGCAAGAGGCTTTTTGCTGCTTTAGTTATTCTTCACCCTCAGATATTGTTGTTATTTTCAGGTGATAAGTTCCGGTTGGTCATAGCTAGTACCTTGTATGAAGATGGTACCCTGGATGATGGTGAATACAACCCCACTGATGACAGGCCTTCCAGGTGAGGTAGTGCAGAAGGGAATACTGGAAATATGCCTTGAGGACTAAGTAGATAAGTGATATATTAGGTCATTGAGTATGAAGTATCCGATTTCCTTAAGTGCTAAGTTTGACAGTTGATATTTCTGACATTTTCACTTTGACAATTCTTGTTTTATTTTTATTGTGAAGGTACATCCTCAGTCTCTCAAATGCATGGTTTTTTGCTTATGATTATCTTCCAGATTTTTTTAGAACAATTTTTGTGAAACCATGGATAAGTCAGAAATTCGTGTTATTTTTGAAGATGAGTTCCATCGTGGAACAAATGCTATAAAGACAGCTCAAAATATCAGCAAAGTGTTTGGGAAGGATGTGGCTAATGAATGCATAGTCTGTCGATGGTTCCAGAAGTTTCCTTCTGATGATTTATCTTGAAAATGAGCCACATGGGTGATGTGAGACCAAGGTGGATCATGATGAGCTGAAAGCTGTAGTGAAAGCGAATCCATCTCAACCTACACATGAATTATCAGCAAGGTTTGATGTTACTATTCCAACAATATTGGACCATTTGAAACAAATCAGCAAGGTAAAGGAGCTGGATAGATGGGTACCACATGGATTAAATGAATGTCAGAAGAGAAATCGTCTCAAAACTTGCTTTTCTTTGCTGTCACAACATAAAGGCAAACCATTTCTACACTGTATTGTTATACGTGATGAAAAATGGATTCTTTTTGACAATCAGAAGCATTCAGCACAATGATTGGATAAGGATGAAGTGCTGAAACACAATCCAAAACCTAATCATCAAAAAAAAAAGCTAATGGTGTCTCTTTGTTGGTCCAGCGTTGGTATTATCCATTACAGCTTCATGGAACCTGGTCAGTCGATTACAGGGGATGTCTGCTGCAACCAAGTGGTTGAAATGATGAGGATGCTTGTGATTAAGCAGCCAAGATTGGTCAATAGAGACAGGCCAGTCCTCTTGCAAGACCACGTGTCACAAAAAACAACACTGCTCAAACTATAGAAGCTGGACTTGGAAACTCTGCCATCCACTATATTCACTAGACCTTGCACCAGGCTTTGGACCACTTCTTGCAAGGAAAAATATTCAACAATATTCTCAAAAAGCTGTGGAAAATGCCTTTTGTGATTTCATCGCCACTCACTTTCCAGGCTTTTTCACTGCTGGCACAAACAGCTACCGTCAGGATGGCAAAACTGTGTCTGTAGTTTAGGCACATACTTTGACTACTTGTACTACTTCTTGTTTGAGATAAAATAAGCTAAACTTTTGATTCGAAATTGGACATTTCATATTTAATGACCTAATAGAAAGGTTCTTATTTAATTTCTGGAATAAATGATGATCAGCTCCTGAGACAAGTGTGAGTAGGATGGGGGAAAAAAAATAAATGGTGATCAGCAGAGTCTGAGTAACCTTAAGGAAAAATTTTTGCACTTAAGAATTCAAACAACCAGTTATTTATTGATAGCAGTGATTACACGCTGTGAATTGTAGCTTTTTGAAGGCTGAGGAAATGACTACTGAGTGACCTAGGCTTTGTGGGCCTTGTGTCTTGGGAGGGAGCTTGGTGTGATGGAAAGGCTTTAGAGCTTCACTGAGTTCAATTCTCAGCTCTGTCACTTATTTTTTAAGTAACCTTAATCTCTTTCTGCTGATTTCCTCATCAGTAAAATAGAAATGGTCATGCCTAGCTCACAGGGCTGCTGTGAGGACTAAATGACATGTTTCTAGTGTCTGTTGTTATTATGCTGGCATTTAGTTACCAGTTACCATTTTAAAATAGGGTCTCTTATATTGTTAATTACTATTAAGAATAACTTTGCCACTGTTGTTCCACAGGGCTGACCAATTTGAGTATGTAATGTATGGGAAAGTATACAGGATTGAGGGAGATGAAACTTCTACTGAAGCAGCAACACGCCTGTAAGTTCCACAGTCTTCTGAGAATCCTTTTTCTCCTCCCTGTTCTGAGAATTTGGGTCATGCTCCTGCTTCCTGTGTTGGGACCCTTTCTTCAAGCACCTAAGACCTTGATGGGACCTAGAAAGAAACTTCTGGGGGCCGGGTGCAGTGGCTTATGCTTGTAATCCCAGCACTTTGGGAAGCTGAGGCAGGAGGATCGCTTGAGCCCAGGAGTTTGAAACTAGCCTGAGCAACATAGCAAGACTCTGTCTCTACAAAAAAAATATAAAAAATCAGCCACATATGGTGGTACACACCTGTAGTCCCATCTACTTGGAAGGCTGAGGCAAGAGAATCACTTGAATCCAGGAGTTCATCTAAGAAATCAGCCCAAGATTCTTAAAATGGAATGATATATAGAAATGATCACATCACTGCACTCCATCCAGCCTGGGTGAGAGAGTAAGACCCTGCCTCAAACAAACAAAAACTTCTGTGAATAGTTTCCAGTCTGAAATGTAGGCTGCTCACTCTGCCCTTTGTCAGGACGTTAAGGCCCAGTGGTCCAAATGAGAAACTAGTAATCTTGCTGTGTAAAGTACAAAGTAGGGTTGCTTTCCCAGGAACTAAATGCAGCGTTAAGTGATTAAACCGTGAGGCTTTTTTGTATGTGTTTGTGTGTGTGTGTATGTGTCTTGCCACACTGTAATCCAATCCCTCATTCTTTGGTTTCTCTGCCCAAGTATTTTTTCTTTTCCTTGAAATCTTATTAAAACAGTATGTGTTCTTTGTAAGAAATCTGAAAAGCAGAGAAGTAATGTGAAGAAAGAAGAAAGTCACCTGTAATTCCATACCCAGAGGGAACCTTTTATATAGACCGTTGTGAATATTCTAGTTTTTTTAATGTTTACTTTTTCCTGTGAGACTATGTTGTTTATTACAATGTTTTCTTCTGCTCTTTTTGCTTAACATTATGTAAAACATGTTTCTCCATGTCAGTTTAAAGCTTTCCTAAGCATTTTAATAGCTGTGTAACATTTCAGTAAATGAATATATCTTAATTCATTTGTCTATTCCCCTAATTTGGGGCATGTAGGTGTTTTCCACCTTTGCTAATATAAAGAACACTGCCTTGTGCATATCTGTGCATTCATCTTTGTCTGAAATTTGGTTCCTTATGACAAAACACTAGAAGGGTGCCTCTTTTCTTTCTTAGGCTGGGATGGAGAGCTGCTGAGTAGCAGCTGCTCCAGAGCTCAGACTCACAGGACTGGGGCCTTCTGTTTCAGCTCTGCCTACGTGTCCTATGGGGGCCTGCTCATGAGGCTGCAGGGTGATGCCAACAACCTGCATGGATTTGAGGTGGATTCCAGAGTCTATCTGTTGATGAAGAAACTGGCCTTCTGAACTACGAGGGAAGCCAGCCTTGATGCTTAGTCACTCAGATCATGGACATTGGTCAACCTGTGTAACAGATGCTGTTGTTCACCCGTTAAGGAGAGGCTGGCCACCTTTCTCCTGTGGGTGCATCTTTAGCTGGTCTGGACTCAATGGGAAACTGACTTGCCTGTGAAAGACCCAGCGGGAGAGCTTAAAATGAATCAGAAGTCGTTTTGTGTATATGATTTTTTAAATTAAACTTTACTTTTTTCAGACTGTATCCCCTTTTTTAAAAAAATCCATTTACTTTAAATTCACTTTTTTCCAGTTTGTCTATGATATATTATTTCTGGCCCTCAGGCAGGTGATCACATGTCAACATAGGATCTGTTCCAGCCTTTCGGTATCTGGGTTCAGGGTTATCTCAGTCTCCTGGCTGACCGTTCCCAACATTTATCCTCTAATGCTGTTTTCTATCTGGGAGAGAGAGTGTCATGCTTTTGGCTGCTGAGGGTACCCCAGGCCCGGAAGATACCACCCATTTGGCATAGAATTTTGAATTGGCAAAGAGTCCTGCTCGTGTCCTCCAATACTTTCAGTCTCTTAGGAAGTCAGTTCACGGTGACTTGAATGAGTCACTTGCATAGTCTGGAAATACTCATCATTTTTATGGAAGCTCCGGGTAGAAGCTTTTAGACACAGGCATGGAGCATGACTATGAAGAGAGCAGGAGGAAAGGACTTCGTAGTTATGGAAGCAGGTGGAGGGGCTGGCTCTCTACGTTCCATGGTGGCCTGGGAGGGAGGGTAAGTGGTGATGGTTCTTCCCAGAGACGCTGAACAGGGAGCTGCTGCACAGACCAGTGAAGCGGACAGGGCAGCAATACCAATAAGGTTGGTGGTCCAGTGCCAGAGCCAGGACAATGCAGCAGCCTGACTACAGTCACTAACTTACAAGACAAAGAGTCAAGGAAATGGTGATGAATACAAGGACTCCAGCATGTGAGCTGGCTCTTCAGCCTGGCATTAAAGGCCTCTGAGCAAGTATATGGAACTGTGCTTCCTCCTGGGAAATTCAGGATAACAATCCAGAAAGATTCTCTGAGTGTGTATTAAGTAGTTGTCTCTTTTGATCTCCTGGTTTTGCCATGGGAGCTGGTCCCCCTGCTGGGATGCCTGGGGTATTTCCTTCCTCATCATTTTCAGGTCTTTAACATGAGGTGTTAGAAGTAGTATTTGGGGAAATGGGTTGACAGTGAGTGGCCTCAGCAGGGAAGAGGAAAAGGTGTTTCTTTTACCTTACTATGGGTGGGGTGGGGTGGGAGTGGGGGAATAGGAGAGACTGGAGGTTGGGATGAATTTTTATGAAATCCTAGAACCTTTCCATGGGGTCAGGTTTTCTGGGGGGTTAGAGAAGGATGGATTTAAATTAGAGTGGGAGAACCTAATTACCAGTAACAGTGCAGACTATCATAACAGACTGTCTTGACTGCTCTGGGATGGCAGAAGAGAGAAGTAGTATACAGTTGAATAGGGATAAGAGTGTTCTGGTTGTAAAAGGCTTTGTGTGTGTGTGTGTGTGTGTGTGTGTGTGTGTGTGTGTGTGAGAAGGAAGAAGAGATGGAATCAGCCAGACAGAATGGTTTGGGAATGGGTTAGATTCTTAACAGGGGCAATTAGTTCACACTGGAGAAGCCCATGAGTTTATTTGTATTTGCCCTTAACTGGAGTAAGTTCCAGATGCCTGGAGCTTTTGGCTACATTTGCAGTTTTGCCTTTCATGTCTCTCATCTGATTGTGCCAAGAACCCATAATTTTCTGGTCCCTTTGGCATATCTTGTCCTAGGTGCTGGCTCTTTCATGTGCCATAAAGTTTCATTTGATCATTAAATATAACCTACTTCAGTATTTCAGCAAATTACAATTTCTGCTTACCATTCATTCCCTTGACCACATTCTGGAATTTGTAGCGAATGAACTAATTCTCTCCCGTGCAGAAACTGACACCATCTGAGATCTGAACATTTTTGAGCTTTGTGCATTTGTTGATTCCTTCTCCATAGTAACTGTTCTGTCCATGAAAGAAGAGAGGGGCACCAGGATATGTCTCAATTGGTCACCTCCACCAAGAACTGGTTTTCTACTCAGAACTCTTTAATTGTTGATGTATTTACTCCCTAAGGACTTGGAATTCTTTCCCGGTAAATAACTGAATTATTTACTGGACAGTGCACCACACTGGGGAGAGTATGGGCCCTAGAGTAAGTCACACTAGGGTATTTGTTCTTTTCCTGCCTACAGGCTTTGTAACCATTGGGAACTCACCTGACATCTCAGAGCCTCAGTTTCGTCATCTGTAAAATAGGGATGGTAATACCTACCTTACAGAGTTATGTGAATGTTAAAAAAAGGTAACATAGGGCGGGCAAGGTGGCTCACGTCTGTAATCCTAGCACTCTGGGAAGCCAAGGCGGGAGGATTGCTTGAGCTCAGGAGTTTGAGACCAGCTTGAGCAAGAGCAAGACCAAACTGTCTCTACTAAAAATAGAAAAATTAGCTGGGCGTGGTGGCATGTCCCTGTACTCCCAGCTACTCGGGAGGCTGAGGCAAGGATCACTTGAGCCCAGGAGTTTGAGGTTGCAGTGAGCTACGATGATGCCTCTGCACTCTACCTAGGGTGACAGAGTGAGACTCTGTCTCAGAAAAAAAAAAAGGTAATGTACATAAGCTTCCTGACACATTTTGCTTTCATTCTGCTATTTTGGAATGCCTTTGGTTATCCCGGGGTATTTGTGGCAATGTTTAGAACTCTAGGTTCCTGGCTCCTCTACTTACATGGTAGCCTTTCCTTTGGGGGGGGGGGAGATGAAAAATCTTCCACTCATTTTCTTACAGGAACCTTTGGAGGTAGTAGGTTGACTTTTGCAATGGAATTTTTGTTTTTGTACAACATTAACCTCTTCCTGAGCACCAAGGCAGCACTTATTTGAAAAGCCCCATAAGCCTGATTTATTTTCTAGAGATCTCCTAGCAGAGTTTATGATGGTCACACAGGGCTGCTTTTTAGTTGCACTTTTGGGAATTGGGGAATGAGCCTTCAACTTGGTGCTTGGACTTGTGCTTGTCCTCCTGCTGTGCGAGCTCAAGGAGCCTGACTCTTGCCACTTCCTGCACTTCCCCCTGACCTCCACAGGAGGGAGGCAGGAGTCTACGCCTGGCGAAGCCTCCTGCCGAGATGCTTAAGCTCTGGCTGTTTGCTCAGCTGTCACATCCAGGTCTCTTCTACTGAACTATCCGCACAGTCTTACCTAGAGTGTGAGGCTCCCCAGGGCTTCCTGTTAGCTTTTTTTGCGAGGAGGGGTGGTGTCGGGGGGCGGGGGGGGGGATCTATTGTACCCTGTGAAGAATATCTCTCCCTTGCTTTTTAGTCAGCTTTTGGGTGCTCTCATTTATTTATACAGGCTCAGTTTTGTATATTGCATAGGGACAACCTTTCTGGGAGACAACTTATTCATTTCTCAAGAGTAGGTATCTCTTAAGAATAGGGGATAAGACGGAGTCCCACTGAGAATGGTAGTAAAGGACATGGGGCATTGGAAGGCCTTAAAGTTGAAGCAAAGGAAACTACCCTTTCTTTTCTGACATAAGGTTAGTCTCAACCTCTGTTCAAAGGCCGGGCCAATCCAGGTCTTTGCAGAATTATTATATGAAAAAGCACATATAGAATTAGTTGCAAATTTGTACAGAAAATAGACCAAAGATAACTAGCTGCTTTGATGAATATTATTGATAGCTTAAAAAAATAGCTTCTAAAGTTTTGCAATGTATGATGAAAAATGATCCCTTTTTCTGTCCTTTCTGTGTATCACCCTTTATCAGGGCTTTGGGTTTCAGGTGAAATCAGGTAATCCGGTATAGTTGCATTGTCTCCCAGGGACTGTCTCCAGGGAAGGGAGCGGTACATGAGACACAGTGCTGATGTTGGCAGTGCCTGAGTACCTTACCCTTCCTGAGACAGATTCTGGGAGTGAGGGTGGGCTGCGACTAGAAGAGGGCTGGTAGTGTCGGGTGTGGTAGCAGAAGGGTCAGGAAGCAGGGTGTGGAGCTGGACTGCAGGCGTAGGTGAGGCAGGTGAAGGAGAGAAGAGTGTGTATTGTCCAGTGGGCAGATGGGTCAAGGAAGGAGAATATCCAGGCTGGAGGCTGGGTGGCAGGGAGCCTGTGTCCGATGTTCCTGGGGAAATGTCCGGGGCTCCTAGGGTCCTGGGTGAGGGTCCAGGAAAGAGTCCATGACTTCCATTCAAGGGTTGGTATGTCCTGTTCAGGTATCCAGGGATTTGGTCCAGGGACCTGGAGGTTTGGTTCAGCGGACCAGGAATCTTGGCTTTGAATCCTTCCTGCCTGTTCAGAAGTCCAAAACCAGTAGTTCTGGCTGAGACAGTGGAGTTTGTCTCCAGCAATCCAGAAATCCTGTTTGGGAGCTTGTTCAGTGTGAGGAATAGAGAGGTACTGCTTGGGACAGCTGTGGCGGGGAGGGCCTGCCTGACACAGAGGGTGCGTCCTCCCACGAGCAGCAGGAAACGTACTTTTCCTCGGAGCAGTTGTTGGAAGTTCAGGAAGATGGCGTTGGGATCCTTGTGAGCTGTGGTCCTGCCCTGTGGAGGAAGCTGAGGGCAGAGGATGGGCCTGAGGCCAGAGACCGGGGCCAGCTATCAGGCCTCCCTTGTCTATGTAGGAAAGACACCAACACCCAGGCATTATTACTGGGAAGGAGCACTCCTTAGTAGTACCAACTCTTCTACCTTCGGGATCCCTACATGACCCCTTCTTCCCTGAGATCTTTTAGGGGGACTGAGTCAGAGAAGGACAGTTTGAGGACTTACCTGGGTCCCAAGGAGGCCCTGCAGGGCTCCAAGGAGGAGGCGGATCTGTCCAGAAAGCTGTCCCAGGAGGGATGAGAGGCAGGTGGGTCCCAGTTGTCCCCGTGCTGCCATCACTCCCTCCAGCAGAAGGGTCACTGCTCCCAGAATGTCCTGTGCCTTGGTCTGCTCCTGGGAAAGAGATGGAAGAGAGAAGCGGACTGCTTCAAAGGGCATGCTAGTAGCGGGTGGGGAGCCCATAGGAGCAGCCAGCAGAATGAATCATAGGAGCTGAGAATTGGACAGGACCAAGGTCCCACCCAGCACAGGAATTCCTTCACAGTCTCCCGACAATTGGTCATCAGCTTCTGCTTCAATAACTCCAGTGTCCACTAACCCAGCCTGGTCTTACACTCAGTTTCAGTAGAAAAGTTCCTTTTTCCCCTTACATTGCTGAAATCTGCCCTATTATA